CTCGTCTCTCTATAGCGTCCCCTTGAGGTACGGGATCGGGAAAGTCACTTAAACTTTACAGTCAAATAGATGCACACAACGAAATACGTTTCAACTCTTGTCTTTAGTCGGTCAGTCGAGCACTCTATAAGACACAGCGCCCTGGGGAAAAGTCCCCAAGACTATTGCAAGGCTGACCCAAGACTCGCCCAAGACTGCGTCAAGAATCGCCCCAAGACTCTCCAGGACTCTCCGTCTCTCGTGGTGTTCTCGCCAAGACCAACTAAAACAACTTTATTCACTTTCAAAACCTTAACCAATTACAAAGCAGTAAAAAGACTCTAGGGCGTAACCTTCACACATTCAACCAATCACACTAAGTACTGAACACGTCATATCTTTTGATTAATCGTTCACTACATAAATAATTGCGAATACAAACTGTCAGAAATAGTAGTCCGAATAGCGACGGTTATCTCGTAATTACTTCCAAATGACTGAGTCGAGTTCCGTTCAGAACCTCGCCTAAACGATGACAGACATAACACATCCATTCACTCGTAATCAGCTAATTAAGTCGATTAACAAATACGCGTAAACAAATTCATCACACATCCCTTCACTCAAACTGAGCCATGCCTCCTGGCATAACACGTTCATAAATCAAAGATACCGTCATCTACTCATCACTCGTCATACGGGTTAAATACAATACTAATTAAAGGTATAAATCAAAAAAGTAAAACACACTGATTAAGTACAATGATTATAATGTCTCAAATACAATGGTTATAATAATAAAAACAAGGGAAAGGCTACCAATAGGCCCGCTTTTCTCAAAACGGTCCGCTGAGGTAACCCTTCGCTGCACTGTCTCTCGTTACTAAGGTTAAAATCTCTATGTCAAAAGGTCAAAAAAACTAAGGCGCTGCGGTGTAACCAAGGGATCAGCCAATCGCTGCAGTCGACAGCATAATCACGTAATTACCAGGGATGCGTCTCTCGGTTAAATCATTGCAAAGCGGTAATTAATAAACAATGAATAAAAAAGCTATTAATCAAACTCCTGTCATATACGCTTATAAACTTCACAAACTGAACTCACAAGTTGTTAATCTAATCCTCTGGCAAAAAGACGGGAAAGGCTAAAACGATAGACACTACTAAGTTACATATAATCCTGTCAATCATGAACAAAAGCTTGCGCTATCAAACAATACGTATATAAGCGTACCACACTCTCATCTCGAAATGACATTAAAAAACGTTACAAAGGTGCTCTCAACTCAAATCAACTCAAAAAGCGTCAGAATTATCCGGAAACAACACGTAAACAAAAACAACTCTTAAAACGTCGATATCTCTGTACATCGACAAATCTCAAAACTCTTAAAACTCTTTGGAGCATTACTCTCCCCATCATAATCCGTACTCATAAACTCATTATAACACCATAAAACTTCACAAAATTCAAAACACTGTGTTGCAAATACTTGTCCACTGAAACGCGCTTAAATCGTTATAAAGGACCTCGAACGTCACTAAATATCATTTCAAAACAAAGATCTGGGCGCTTACATAACATACATGATATCAC